AGCACGCGTGAACCCTAACGGGCGGGTCGGGTCGGGTCGGGCGGACCCTAACGGGCGGGCGGATCGGGTCGGGCGAAACCCAACGGGCGGGTCGGGTCGGGCAGGCGGGACAGTGTGGAGGCACGCTCGAGTGAGCACGCGTGAACCCTAACGGGCGGGCGGCGGGCGGACCCTGACGGCGGGTCGGGTCGGGTCGGGCGGACCCTAACGGGCGGGTCGGGTCGGGTCGGGCCGGGCGGACCCTAGCGGGCGGGTCGGGTCGGGCGGGCGGACACTAACGGGCGGGTCGGGTGGGGCTGGGCCGGGCGGACCCTGACGGGCGGGTCGGGTCGGGCGGGCGGGACACTAAAGTGTGGGGCGCGCCGGAACGAGCTCGCGCGAACTTCAATGGGCGGCTCGGGTCGGGTCGGGCGGACCCTAACGGGCGGGACGGGTCGGGTCGGGTCGGGCGGACCCTAACGGGCAGGTCGGGTCAGGTGGGCGGGACATTGAAGTGTGGGGGCGCGCTCGAGTGCGCACGCGCGAACCCTAGCGTGCGGGTCCGATCGGGCGGGCGGACCCTAACGGGCGGGGCGGGGCGGGCGGACCCTAACGGGCGGGTTGGGTCGGGCTCCAGCCAACCGGCTGCGGGCAAGAGAAGCCAGAGGAAGAGGGGAGGGAGGGGAGCAGCAGCAGCAGCAGCAGCAGCAGCAGCAGCAGCAGCAGCAGCAGCAGCAGCAGCAGCAGCAGCAGCAGCATGAAAGAACAGGAGCGGGAAGAGGAAAAGAGGAAGAGGAGGGCGAAAACGAACCCGGGCGAAAACGAGCCCAGGCGACAGCCAACCCGGGCGACAGCCAACCGGGCGAAAGCCAACCCGGGCGAAAGCCAACCGGGCGAAAGCCAACCGGGCGAAAACCAACCTGGGCGAAAGCCAACCCGGGCGAAAGCCAACCCGGCGAAAGCCAACCCGGGCGAAAGCCAACCCGGGCGAAAGCCAACCCGGGCGAAAGCCAACCTGGGCGAAAGCCAACCAAGCGAAAGCAAACCCGGGCGAAACGAACTGCATGGGCGAAACGCACCGGGCGAAAACCAACCCGGGCGAAAAACATCTACGCCAAGCGGCAGCGCGTCATTGTGTGTGTGTGTGTGTGTTTGGGGCTGTCGCCGCAGAAAGAAGAAATGTCAGCCCGCGCGGGTCCCAAACCGTGCGCTCTAGCATGTTACATGGCGCAACTTGTGTGGTGCACGGAGGTGGCGCAATCTACGGGGTGCAAGTTATGTGGTGCCATCTACGTGGTGCCAGCCATGTGGCGCAATCTACGTGGTGCGCTTAGCGAATGCTCGCAATCGAGTTGCCAACCCCACTGCTCGCGCACTTGTCCCACCATCCAGCCCAAGTTTGTTTGCAAACCCATGAGGCGGCAATTGTGATGCCTCCCTGGCGCTGCCTGGCGCATCGCTGCGGCCGCACCAGCGCGCGCAGGCTCGCGGCAGAGCGGCCAGCGACTCTGGCGCGACCGACGCGGCCGCGGTGGCGCTGACCGCTGGGGACTTTCCAGCGCGTCTCACAAGCCGCGCTGACGCGCGGGCACTACGGTGCGAGTCGGTCACTGGGGCGGGCGCGGTATCATGGCGACGTAAGTCGGCAACAGTGCTACTGACGACGGTGACGATGACTACGGCAAGGCACATGGCGGCGCCAATGCTGATCACGCCGGTGATGATCATGGTGTCCGCGCGTGGGTGATGAAGGTTTTGGAAGGATTTCGACATGCGCGCGCGGCCGACGGGCGCGAGGGGCCCGCATTGAATTATTTGACAAGGATCGTGCCCCCCCCTGGCGCGCGCAAGGGCATTCGAGCGATTTCGACACGCGCGAGCGCGAGGCCCGTATGGTCGCATGTGATGAAAATGCTGAAGAACCTATGGTTTTCTTAAGCATTCGCGAGAGTGCGCGCGCAGATTTGTTTTTGGATAGCTGGTGTTGCAATGCCATTTGTTTTCTGAAATGTTCGAGACTCGGCGCTGGACTCGTGATCCGGTCTAGTTGTTGGCGCGGCTGTTCGCCAGGTGAGCCACGGGAGTATCGCACACGAAGACTCTGCAGGCGTGAGTTGGCGCGGGGATGGCAGCACCGCGGATGCCACCACGCGCTTCTACGTGCAGAAGTGGGCGCCGCCGCCACGCACGCGTGCAATGGTATCCCGTGTGGCGGCATCCAGGTCGGACGGGGGCCTCCTCCTCCTCCTCCTCCTCCTCCTCCTCCTTCTCCTCCTCCCACCCCTCCTCCTCCATTCCTTTTCCTTATAAGCAGCTTCTCCCTGTCGCACCCCGAGGCCAGATTGTAGGGCGGTCCAGGCGTTTCGCCTGAGACTTCCTCACCATTTATGACTTTGAAAATGAAAATTGGCAACCGATTCACAGATGGAGGGCGGGTGGTTTTCAAAATGTGGCTCTCGCCTTAGCGCCGCGCACCTTTGTTTTAAGCATTTGCAGAGAGCTTCACGGATTGAGGATCACCCGTTTTCAAAATGTGGCTCTCGCCATAGCGCCGTGCACCTTCGTTTAAACCATGCAAGAGTTTCACGGATTGAGGACCACCCGTTTTCAAATTGTGGCTCTCGCCTTAGCTCCGCGCACATTCGTTTTTTTTAAACATTGCAAGCGTTTCACGGATTGAGGGCGGTTCCTTTTCAAAATGTGGCTCTCGCCTTAGCGCCGCGCACATTTGTTATCACAATTTGCAAGAGTTTCACGGATTCCCGCGTTCAATGTACCAGACATGGCGTTTTGGAAAGATTCAGGATTGTGCGGGTGCAACAGTTACGTTGATTCGCGGTGTTGAAATCCCAAGAATGGCTGTCTGGCACGTTCCAGGATCGTCAAAACGCAGCAGTCAGGTTGATCCGTGGCGCTGGAATCCCGAGAACAACGTTTTGGCATGCTTCCGGGTCTTCACACGGATGTCTTCTAACAAGGCAGATCCTTCAATGGAAATGAACCGTTGTAGGGGCCTCTGAAGAGGGAGCTTGGAGACAGGGTGCATTCCAACATCGTTGATAGCTCTTGGGCTTACACTGGTCACCCTCCTCCTCCTTCTCCTCCTCCTCCTCTTCCTCATCCTCCTTCTGTACCCCCAGTTCCTCCTCCTCCTTCTCCTCCTCCTCGGGGAAGGACGAAGACCTAGGACGTGCGTAGGAGCGGGGGAAAGAAGAAGAGGAATAAGAAGAAAAAGGAGGACCTTCGAACAATAACTAGTCCCCTGCGTCCTCATGGTAAGGGCCTGTCGTGTCTGGGAAGTTATGCCCTCCTGGGCGTGCTCCAATTTCCGCCCGTGGGTTCTTATGGGTTCCAGGGTGGCGCCCGAGACGTGACCGCCGAATGGGGAGGAGGGAAGGACGCATACAGCAAGATGGGAGCAAGGGGACACAATACAACTTGTTTCCCCCAAAGACCGCCCGTAGGTGATGCTGTGACCCTGGGCGGTACCTACACGTGAAGTATTGGTGTGAGCTGCATCGCGTCGCCAGTGCAATCGATCCCCTCGGGTGCTGCGCATTCCTACCTCAGGTGCCAATTTCCAGGCAAATGGTCGTGCATGACTGCTCTCCCGTTGACCCCTGGCGGGCAACTGAATCGGCAACGCCTGTCAATGACGATCCCCCTCACGCTCCTGGCGCATGATGCCGCCAGAATCGCGAGGACTCCGATGTGAGGATGGTGTCTGGGTCGGTGGTGCGCTGCAACAGCGAAGCCCTCCCTGGGTAACGGTCCGGGTCGCAGCAGTAAGTGAACAGCCCAAGTGCAACTCCGGAGGGACGAGGCCTGAATCCCAGCTCCTCCCAGCAGAAACCGCCGCGGGGGTCTCCTGAACGCCCCGACTCCCAACAAAGGTGGACCTGCGCTCACCTCTCGTGAGAACGCGGGGCCCCTGCTGCCGCACCGTGGGGTCGCATACGGGGGTGCCCCCCGAGCACTCCACTTCATATCTTTGTGTGGAGCTGCGTTTTCCCATGAGTGGGGGGCACGTGGGGGGTACACCGATTCCCTGCGCGAGCGATGGAGCCCTCGTGTGAAAAGGATGGCAGCGATGAGATGACCAGTGCGAGCTGCAACTGGGGGGGGGGGGCACACCGAAGTCTCACACGGTCCAGCACGACAAACTGGGGAATGCTCACCCCAAGAAGCCCCCCGAAAACCTCAAAACTGGTAAACTTGCAAATGTCCGAATGGTTTCTGCCACAAATGGCCGTATCTGTCCATACCGTTACGGCTTAACGGAGGCGTGGAGGCGGACAACTTCACCCCTCCACACTCGCAATCTACATCTGCATTGGGATTGCGGGAGGTCCATTCCCGTTCTGATGAACGACCCAACGGACACAATGATAGACTAGTTTTTGGAGCAACATGAGGTGAAGAAGACATCTCGTCTCAAATGTCACCGCCTCTGGCGGGTGCCCCTGCATCTTTATAACCGGACCGTGGGGACATGTGGGGGCAACCCTCTTTTCGCGCGAGCGTGTGTGTGTGTGTGTGTGTGTGTGCGTGTGTGTGCGTGCGTGCGTGCGTGCGTGCGTGTGCGTGTGCGTGTGCGTGTGCGTGTGCGTGTGCGTGTGTGTGTGTGTGTGTGAGTGTGTGTGTGTGTGCGTGCGTGCGTGCGTGTGTGTGTGTGTGTGTGTGTGTGTGTGTCTGTGTGTGTGGCAAGCACGCACGACCGCCGGCATTGTCGTCGGGCTGTCTCCTGGAGATCGACACCTCCTCTGGGAGCACAAGTGGGGGCACCCTCAATCTCGTACCAGCGCAAGGCCAAAGTATGAATGCAGTAAGCAAATTATCCGTGCAGCTCAGGTTCATATGAACTACATGAAATGACGAAAGACGGAGGCTGATGATGCTGATGATTAGAATGCGACGGAGAAGGACGATGAAGAGGATGAGGAGGAGGAAGAGGAGGAGGAGGAGGAGGAGGAGGAGAAAAAAAGGGATGGGGGCCGAATGCGGAAGGATCATTTTCATACCGCTACGCGTGATGGTGACTGCAATCACCTGAGATTTCTGCATGGCTGTAATCATGGCCTTTGCGTTGTCTGCGATATTGTTCACCTCGCGAATGATGTCCCCAGCCTTGACCACACCAATCTCGCCCTTGTGGCTATTCTTGTCGTTCCACTGGGCGAACAGGCCGCCCGGCTGCACGCGGTCGATGATCAGACGGCCTCCCGTGGCCTCCACGTCGATGCCCAGTTTCGTCGTGCCATCCCTGGCCACCACGGCATGGAATGTCAGTTCCTCCAAAGCAGCAAAAAAAAAGCTGCATAAACATAATCTGCTGGCGCTCCGAGCAGATTTCTAGGATCTGTGCTGGACCCCCCCTCCCTGGCGCGCTCCGCGCGCCAGGGGCGGCGCTGGAGGCGTAGCCGGGGGGGCCCAGCGCGGATCCAAGCAGCTCGCGCGGAGCGCCAACAGTTTCATGTTTGTGGCGCTTCTTCTTTTTCGACTCCTGCTCCTTGTCTTCAGCCGCCTGTGGAAGCTCCTCGGCCGTCTGTGGGGGGTCCTCCACCGCCTGCGGACGCGGAGGAGGAGGAGGAGGCGGAGGAGGAGGAGGAGGAGGAGGAGGAGGAGGAGGCGGAGGGAGGCGGAGGAGGAGGCGGAGGGAGGAGGAGGAGGCGGAGGAGGAGGAGGCGGAGGAGGAGGCGGAGGAGGAGGAGGAGGAGGAGGAGGAGGAGGCGGAGGGAGGAGGAGGAGGACGAGGCACCTCGGCCGCTTCTTGGGGCTCCTCGGCCGCTTGCGGAGGCTCCTCGGCCGCCTGCGGAGGCTCCTCGGCCGCCTGATCCTCGCCCTCGGTCGCCTGCTCTTCCGGCTCCGCCTTGGAGAGTCCACAAGCCAATCGACACCGCTGCTCCCTGGACTTCTACCCAGACGCGATCGCGTCGTTAGCCGTTTTCGGCCTCGGGGGGCCCTCACCGGGCCGCGGGGGACCGTCAAAAAACAACTCAGGACGAAAAACCGGTCCCGGGGAAAGGGTCGGGACTTCCAGGGACGCCGTCCTGAAAAAATCCAGACGTCGCATGTCTGGATATCCTCGGGCGCGCGCTGACCAGAACCTCGAAGCAAATCCAGTTGTGGCGACGAGGGCCGCCCAGGACGCCCCAGAACGGGAACAACGAGGGCTATGTTGCTCCCATCGTACTTCAGGACCACATCCCAGAAATAATTTCGAGCACCCGAAAAAATGTCAACAGAGTGTCGAAACAGTGTCGAAACAGTGTCGGGGGAATGTCTCCCAGGGCCCGGCACGTGAAAACCCTGGAGCTTCGGTACTGTTCTGGGCGCTCGAGATTCTTTCTGGTGGTCAAGGCTAGAAAGTAGGTTGGAGCATCATACAACGAGGGCGGCATATGTGGTACCTCCGGCGCCTGCTCCAGCTCCTCTGGCGAGGGCTCCCCCGCCCCTCCGGGCACGAAGCAGTGGACGCCCGGCACCACCTCTGGCAGCGGCCCCAGCCGCAGGCCGGCGGCCCTCCACGCGGGCATCAGCCACGAGCCCACCGAGGGCCGGGCGCCGTAGAAGGCCACGCCCTCGGGCGCGGGCTGCGCCGCCTCGTGGCAGGAGGAGTAGCGGTTGCAGAGGACGCCGTGCGCGGCGCCCGGGGCCCTCCGGGCGCGCGCCGGCGCCTCGGCGTCCGGGCCCCTGGGGCCCTTGGCGCCCTTGCCGCGCCCCGGGTCCTTGCCCTTGCCGCGGCCCGCGTCCTTGCCGCGGCCAATGGGGGCGAGCGCCTCGTGGCCCTCGAGGCCTCCCCTGGGGCCCCCGCGCGCGGGGCCCCTGCCGCAGCCCTTGGCGGGGAACGGGCCCCCGTCGGGGCCCTTGCTCTTGCCGTGGCCCTTCGCGCGGAAGGCATCCGAGCCGTCCTGGCTCCGGGGGGCCCCGCCGCGCGCGGGGTCCTTGCCGCAGCCCTTCGGGGGGCGCGCCTCCCAGTTGTCCAGGTGCTGGGCGCTCCCGCCGCGCCCAGGGTCCGTGCCGTAGCCCCCCGGGGGGTTTCTGTCAAGATTGCCGCCCCCCATGCCCATGCGATTCCAGTTGCCCTTGCCGTCGCGCCAGTTCTCGGAGTAGGACTCGTTGTCGTGGGGCCTGTCGTAGCCCTTGCTGTGCCGCGCACTGTCGTAGCCCCTGCTGCCATAACCCTTGTTATCGTAGCTCATGTCAGGAGCCCTGGACCCATAGCCGCCTTTGCCACAGCCTTGGCCCTTGACCTGGTCCCTGTCGTGCTCATCCCTGCCAGGGACGCCTGGGAGAACGAACCGATACTGCAACCGCTGCTCCAAGGACCTCCCCTGGGGCTCGCTGCGGTCAGGCTGCCGAGTCGAGTCCAGCCGTGGCGACGAGGGCCCCCCTCCCAGGAGACCCCGCATCGGCGTCGCGCTGTTTTTTCCCAAGAATCCTGTGGTGTTGGGACATCGTTCCAAGTAGACAGTCCCCGCGTTCCCTCCCTCCCTCCTTCCCTCCTTCCTTCCTCCTCCCTCTTCCTCCTCCCCCATCCTCCCTCCTCCCTGCATGTCACCCGCCCAATACTGCGTTTCGTGGCCCCATCGGGAGCTCCACCGAAGGTGCCAGTGGGACCGCCCGCATGCGTCAACCACCACCGAGCACAGCACATCGTGGCCCCATAGGGGGCTCCACTGAAGGCCCCAACGGCACCGCCCGCATGCGTCTGCAGCCACCCAGCACAGCAGCCACCACCCAGTGCAGCGTCTCGTGGCCCCATATGGAGCTCCACCGAAGGCCCCAACGGCACCGCCCGCAGCCCGCATGCGCCCGCCACCACCCAGCACAGCGCTTCGTGGCCCCAGAGGGGGCTCCACCGAACGCCCCAGCGGGACAGCCCGCATGCGTCAGCCACCACCCAGTACAGCGTTTCGTGGCCCCATTGGGAGCTCCACCGAAGGCCCCAACGGCACCGCCCGCATGCGTCAGCCACCACCCAGTAGAGCGCTTCGTGGCCCCATACGGGGGCTCCACAGAAGGCCCCAATGGGACCGCCCGCGTGCGTCAGCCACCACCGAGTACAGCGCTTCGTGGCCCCCACCGAAGGCCCCAATCGCACCGCCCGCATGCGTCAACCACAGCCCCGCACAGCGTTTCGTGGCCCTATAAGGGGCTCCACCGAAAGCTTCAGTGGCACCGCCCGCATGCGTCAGCCACCACCCAGTACGGCGTTTCGTGGCCCCATATGGAGCTCCACCGACGGCCCCAACGGCAACGCCCACATGCGTCCACCACCGCCCAGCACAGCGTTTCGTGGCCCATAGGGAGCCCCATTGAAGGCCCAAGTGGCACCGCCTGCATGCGTCAGCCACCACTTAGTACAACGCTTCGTGGGCCCAGGGGCCCCACCGAAGGCCCAAATGGGACCGTCAACTTCACCGAAGGCCCCAACGGCACCGCCCGCATGCGTCCGCCACCACCCAGCACAGCGCTTCGTGGCCCCAGGGGGGGCTTCACCGAAGGACCCAGTGGCACCGCCCGCATGCATTAGCCATCACCCAGTACAGCGCTTCGTGGCCCCAGGGGGAGATTTTTCGAAAGTCCCAGTGGGACCGCCCGCGTGCGCAAGCCACCGCCCATCACAGCGCTTCGTGGCCCCATAAGGGGGCTCCACCGACGGCCCCAGTGGCACAGCCCGCATGCGTCAGCCACCACCCAGTACAGCGTTTCGTGGTCCAGTAAGGTTCTCCACCAGAGGCCCCAGTGGGACTGCCCGCATGCGTCAGCCACCACCCAATATAGCGTTTCATGGCCCCATAGGGAGGTCCACCGAAGGCCCCACTGGCACCGCACGTATGCGTCAGCCACCACCCAGTGCAACGTTTCGTGGCCCCCACCGAAGGCCCAAGTGGCACCACCCGCATGCGCAAGCCACCACCCAGCACAGCGTTTCGTGGCCCTATAGGGAGCTCCACCGGAAGCTCCAATGGTACCGCCCGCATGCGTCAGCCACAACCCAGCACAGCGTTCCGTGGTCCCAAAAAGAAGCTCCAACGAAGGCCCCCGTGGCACCGCCCGCATGCGTCAGCCACCACGCAATACAGCGTTTGGTGGCCCCATCGGGGGCTCCACCGATGGTCCCAATATAACCGTCCGCATGCGTCAGCCACCGTCCAGTACAGCGTTTGGTGGCCTGGCAAGGAGCTCCACAGAAACTCCTCCGTGCCACCGCCCGCATTCTTCGTCCACCACACAGTACTGCATTTCGCGGCACCGTTGATTGGGAACTCCACCAAGCCCCAGTGACACCGCCCGCATGCGTCCCCCCCACCTGGTACAGCGCTTCGTGGCCCCGCAGGGAGCTCCAGTGGTCCGCCCGCATGCGACCCCCAACCCAATACAGGCGTTTCGTGGGCCCATAGGGAGCCCCACCGAAGACCCCAGTGGCACCGCCTGCATGCGTTAACCCCTCCCAGTACAGCGCTTCGTGGCCCCATAGGGACCTCCACCGACCCCCCCCCAGGCAACGCCCGCATGCGTCAGCCACCACCCAGTACAGCGTTTCGTGGCCCCGTAGGGAGCTCCACAAAAAGGCCCCAGTGGCACCACCCGCATGCATCTCCCCCACCCAGTGCAGCGTTTCGTGGCCCCGTAAGGAGCTCCACAGAGAGGCCCCAGTGACACCGCCCGCATGCGTGTCCCCCACCCAGCACAGCTTTTCTTGGCCTCATGGGGAGTTCCAGCGAGGGGCACTGCCCGCATGCGTCCGCCACACCCAGTACAGCGTTTCGTGGCCCATAGGGAGCCCCACCGAAGGCCCCAATGCCACAGCCCGCATGCATCTCCCCCACCCATTATACGGCACGTCCCTCACGCGTTTCGTGGCCCCATAGGGAGCTCCACTGAAAGCGACACCCACAATGCGTTACTCACAACTGCACATGGTTGGGCCCTTTGCCAGGACAATTTCCCCTCCGAGCGACCGTGGAGCCGCTTCTGCGCGTATCGCAGCAGCTCCTTGCGGTCGGGGGTCAGCCCGGAGTGCGTGAACGCCTGCTCGCAGGGCATCCAATGCGCCTGGAGGAGCAACGAAGAGGCATAGACATACCCATCGATTGGAAGAAGTAGGCAGAAACATGAACTGGGAGGCGTTGAAAGTAGATTGGGTGGCCGCCCGCCCCCTGAGGAGCACGGAACAAGTGAAGCCACTCGATCATTGAAGTAGGAAGGCGCTTTAAGCAAATATGGGACTCTGGGAGACCAAAAATACTTACTTTCAGCGACCGATGGGTCATCTCTCGGAGGTCCGCGAAGAATTTGAGCAGGGACCGACCGTCCTGGCATTCCTGTAGGTCTGCCACAACATTGTCTTAGAACCCAGAGTGTTCTAGGAACAAAAACGATGTTCGTAAAACATAAACCCGATAGGTTCAAACAAGACAGTTTCGGCCAAACATGTTGTCAAACCATTTCGTGTAGACCACAGAAGGTTCTCAGAACATTCGTTGGTGGGCCTATAGGAGACCGTTTTCTTGGAATCGGCGATGACCCGGGTTATCCGGGGGGGAGGAGGGGGCTGGCCGATAACCTAACCTTCGCGCTGTGGACAGCTCTGCAGATGCCCGCGGCCCCCCCGCCCGGGACATGCACAACTGGCAAGGTTTGGTTATCCTGGGGGGGGGAAGGGGGGGCAAGCCCGATAACCCGGGTTATCGCCGGACCCCCCCAAAAACCAGATAAACACCCCAATCAGTGGATGGCTTTCGCTGAGGAGATCGACCGGGAACCTGGGAGCCTGGGAACCCAGACTGCAGGTGCACCGAAATCGGCCTGGAACCAATAACAAGGAACCGGGGAACTTGGAACCAGGAACCCGGGAACCCAGCCTGCTACCAAAATCGGCGGGAAACTTTCGCCAAATCTTTCAACTTCCGCTATAGGACCCCTTCAGTGCAAGCACTGGTTGGGGAACAATCTCCAGGCAAGCCTGGACGCCCAGACATCCGACGTCTCGATTTTGTTCGAGACACGGGCCCCCGACCTCCCGACCACTTCCCCAGGACCGGTTTCTCAGCCCGAGAAGCTTTTTGACGGCCCCGAGGCCCGGCGAGGGCCCCGAGAGGCCGAAAACTGCGAAAAGCCTCCGTCTCGATTTTTTTCGATCGGGGATGGACAGACCCCCCTTTAGCAAAACGTGGTTTAGTGAAAACGACCTGAGGCCCAAACCTGGCGGGCGCAAGCCTGGAAAATAACGGCCACGGCGCCCTTTCGAGAACCGAGAACGGACAATTCACTAATCGACGTGTCACTGTTGGGGGTTCTGTCCACCCCCGATTCGAGACGCCCGATGTCTGGGCGCTCCGCGACTGCTTGAAGGATGCTCGGCATCGGCGCGGAGCCCGCCGGGGTGCGCCGCCAGAGGCGCCGCGGGGCGCGCTGTGCGGGCGCCGCGCCGGGCCCCCCGCCGGAGGCGCCGCCGGAGGCGCCGCCGGAGGCGCCGACAGAGGTGCCGCCAGAGGCGCCGCCCGGGGGGGGGCCGACGCCCAGGCTCAGGTCGGGCGTCTTCCTCCTCCTCCTCCTCCTCCGCCTCCTCCTCCTCCTCCTCCTCCTCGAGTATCCTCCTCCTCCTCCTCCTCCTCCTCCTCCTCCTCCTCCTCGAGTATCCTCCTCCTCCTCCTCCTCCTCCTCCTCCTCCTTCTGCCCCTCCCCCTCCCCCTCCCCCTTCCCCTCCTCCCCCTCCTGGCCCCTTCCTGCTGCTGCTGCCCCCCCCCCGAGGAGGGAGAAGGGAGGAGGAGGGACGCCCGGGGTCGGGCGTGTCCCCCTACAGGTGGATTTTGGAAGGAACAAATAACAATGATTTGCAGAGATTCGACAAGATGGCCAACAAGACTCTTGAACATTCCTCCTGTAGAGGGACGTGCCCGACTTCAGCCCATGCAGGCAATCCGCGCGGGCTTCCGAGGAGTTTGTGCTTACCCATCGATCGTTGCAAGTAGGCATGTTTGGAGTCCCAGGTTCCCTGAAGCGCGCTCCTACTTCCATGATCGCCTCCCGAGGCGGCGGACGGAACCCAATCTACTTTCAACGCCTTCCTGCCTCATGGCTCGACCTTGATGGGCTCGTTTTCCACCACCACCACCATAAGTTGGCGGGTGGGGTCCTCCTCCTCCTCCTCCACCTCCTCCTCCATCTCCTGCTTCTCCTCCTCGTCCTCCTCCTCCACCTCCTCCTCCACCTCCTCCACCTCCTCCTCCTCCTCCTCCTCCTCTTCCTCCTCCTCCTCCTCCTCCAACTGGCCCCTCAGGCCTACTTCTCCCGACCGACGGGTGCCCACTGCTTTGCTCCCCGAGCGCGCCCGCACGGGCCGCGGACGCCCGCAGCCCTTGCCGCTGCTGCGGCTGTGCACCGGCCAGAACTCCTCGTCGGTGGTGTCGTGCGCGGAGGCCGGCCACTCGGCGATGAGGTCCGCCGGCGCGCCCTCGGCCCGCCGGGGCGCGCCCTCGGGATATGTGTGCCGGCGGTCTGGCAGGGCTTCTGCGGCTCCCCAGCTCTGTGAAGGGGCCCTGGGGCACACACACATATATATATATATATGTATATATATATATACACCAATAATAGGATCCCCCATGTTTTCCAGTATTCTCGGGGTTTCTGTCTATTCCCCCCCACTTCCCACAGTTTCCCCTATTCTCTGGGGGATCGACGATCAATTGTGTCTGTGTTTCTTTCCCTCCTGACTTTGGTTGGCCCCAAAGGGGGTCCAGCTGAAAGGGGGTGGTGCAATAGCTTTGGGCAGTTGTATTGCAAAAGTACTGCGCCGGAGAATTTGTATTGCATTCTATAGCATGCAGTGTATTGCACGCGAAAGCCCAGCAAGACATTTGCGCCGCGGACTGTACTGCACGCCCCAACTCTTCTGCAACCCCACAAATCTATTGCACCACATCTATTGCCCCACCCCCTTGTCGCTGGACCCCCTTTTGGGTCAATCCGACCAGCAGCGGCGATCCCCCCCCCGTGTACGGCAGGCTCGTGTCATGACGTCCTCGGCGCTGGCATCCGACACCGCGCAGGTCGCTCGAGCTGGAACGACCCGCGGCTCTGCGACCGCCAGCTCGTTCGATGTGGGTCGACTCTAGGGGAACGAAGAGTGACGTAAGCATAAAAGCTCGGAGATCCGCGCGGATTCCTCGGGTCGGCGCTGGACCCCCTCCCTGGCGCGCGGGGCATGCCAGGGGCGGCGCCGGAGGCGCCGCCAGGGGGTCCAGCGCGGATCCGAGAAATCCGCGCGGACCTCCGAGTTTTTATGCTTACGTTATTGTTTGCTCCCCTAGATGCTGGGCCACTGGCGGCGTTCAACCTGGAACGCCCGCGGCGGGGTCGCTGTCTCGTCGGCACGGCGCGAACCTGACGTAGCAGACCGAGGCAGAGGGCTGCGTCCCTCGGCGCTCCTTTCCGGCGATCTGCTCCTGCCAAGGGCTTCCGGGGCATCCCCAGGACGGCCCGAGGCGCCCCCCCCAAGATGGCCGCTAGGTTTAGCTCGGGCATGTCCTGCTACAGGCGGATTTTGGACGAAGGATGAAGCATAGCCAAACAATACCCGGGCCAGCAGCTTTGCTCCCCGCGCTTCTCTGCCCAAGATGGCCTCAAGGCGGGCTCTGAGAACCCCAAGGCGGCCCCGGAGGGCCCTAGCCCCCGAAGACGACCCATGATGGCCCGAGAGCCCGCCTGAAGAGGGCTCCACAGTTGCCTCCGAGACGCGCCCACTCGGCCACAAGAGGGGCCCTCCGAGCCGCTTCGGGGGAGCTCGGCACGACCATCGCGCCCAAGACAGCCCGAAGACCCCCCCAAGGGCCCCAACCTGCCGCCCACATGCGCCGAAGAGAGCCCCGAGCAAGCCTCCCAAAGCCTCTCCCAGGAAAGCCCGAGAGCCAGCACACCAGCCCATGACCTGTTACGCCCTGCTGCAGCGCCCTGGCGCTGCGGCCCAGACTGCCGAGAGCCAGCACACCAGCCCATGACCTGTTACGCCCTGCTGCAGCGCCCTGGCGCTGCGGCCCAGACTGCCGCACCGGATGGCCCTCTGCCGAGCCCTTTGGGGGGGAGGAGGAGGAGGAAGAGGAGGAGGAGGAGGAGGAGGAGGAGGAGGAGGAGGAGGAGGAGGAGGAGGAGGAGGAGGAGGAGGAGGAGGAGGAGGAGGAGGAGGAGGAGGGGGAGGAGGGGGAGGAAAATGAGGAGGAGAGCTCGGCAGTGCCACCCTGCACGCACCTCCAAGCCGCGCTGGCACGACGGCGGGCGGTGTCGGCCGCAGGCAGCCGCGATAGCAGCAGTCCCGATGCCCGTCGACGATGCACATGTCCTCGGCCTGCCTGCGCCAGAGGAAGCCGTTGTGGAGGCCGGACTGGTCCCGCCACTGCCGCAGCGCCGCCTCGAGGATGGACCCGTCGCCCTCTCGGACGAAGCCCTCGGGGAAGCCCAGGCGGCCGTCCTCGAACTCCACCAGGCAGGCCCGCTGGTGGGGCGGGTGCCCCCGCAGGGCGATGATGCCCGCGACGCGGTGGCCCAGCGGGCTGCCGCCCTGCGGCGGCCCACCGCAGAAGCCGCCCTTGGGGCCCTTGCCGCAGCTGTGGCCGCCCCTGCCGTCCTTGCCGCCGTCCTCCCTGCCGCCGTCGCCCTTGTGGGGCCGAGGCCCGGGCCCCTTGTAGCCCGCCGCGCCTCCGCACGGTGCGCCGCCGCTGTGGCCCCGCGGCCGCGGCGCGGGCGAGTCCTGGTAGAAGTCCGCCGCCGGATCGCTTGGCGGCGCTGGCCCATCAAATGCCTCGCGGCCCTTGCCAGACGGCCCGCCCTTGTGGTACCCCGAGCCGGGCCCATTCCAGCGATCGAAGCCCTTGTGGCCTTTGCCTGACTGCCAACCACTGTCGGACTCGTCCCCGCGGCCAGTGTGAATCTGATTCCCGCCCATGTGGCCTGCACCGTCGTGCCTGAAGGGTCTGCCCTGACACCCGGGGCCGAATGGCCCACTGGGCTGGTCGTATTCATAGGACTGGGCGGGAGGCTGGTCGTAAGGCTGGTTGCAGAGCCCGCCCTTGCCACCATATGGGTCCTGCGAGGGCCCGGTGCCACCATATGGGTCCTGCGAGGGCCCGGCGCCCATGCAGCCGCCGCCGCCGCCGCCGCCGCCGCCGTAGTGCCAGGACTGCTGCTGCCACGCCTGCTGCAGCGGCTGCTGGGGCGGCAACGGCTGCTGCTGCTGCTGCTGCTGCTGCTGCTGCTGCTGGAAGTGCCCGCTGACGGGGCTGCCGAGGGCATTGGCATCGGGGTTCTGGATTCCGAAATAGTTTGGCCCTCGTAGAGGAATAAAAAGACATCATAACACACAACATGTTGACGGTCCGCGCGGACTTCTTGGATCCGCGCTGGATCTTCCCCCCTGGCGCGCGGAGCGCGCCAGGAGCGGCGCCTGGGAGGCCCAGCGCGGATCCCAGAAATCCGCGCGCAGAGCCAGGAGTTGATGCTCGTGGCGGTTTCTCTTCTCCGGCCTCTGCAGCCGCCGCTGCCGCCGAAGACGTTCACGGCCTCGGGCCCCCAGACGCCCTCCGCGTAGCTGGCGCTCTGGAGCGCGGGGGCCCGGTCGCCGCCAAAGTGGAAGGGGTCGAAGCGCGCCTGGGCGGGCGGGGCGGCCTGGAAGTGCGCGACCGGCTGCGGCGCCTGGCCCCCCGGGGCCGGGGCCCCGCCGATGCTCAGCGGGATCTGGAACCCTGCCTGCCAGAGGCCTCCCGGCTGGGGTCCGAGCAGGCGGGGCCGGAGGAGCGCGCCGCATCGCCGACGCATCGGCCGATGCATCGGCCGCGCATCGGCCGGAGGATCGCTCCGCACCGAGCCGCATCGGCGATGGTGCATCGGCGAGGCGGCGCGATGCCCCGAACCCCACCTGCCCGGACCCCCTCTGGGAGGACCAGGGCCTGGACCGGCGGGGCGGCCTGGAACTGCTGCGGGGCGTGCGGCCCGCCGAAGCCGAAGGGGTCCGGGCTGCGAGCTGGTGCGGCGGGCTGGAACTGCGGGAACGGCTGCGGGGCGCCGTGCCCCTGCGGCGGCAGCATCGGCGCCGCCGGCGGGCCTCGGCGCAGAGAGTGACGGACCCTATGGGCTCCGACGTGGCGACCGAATTGCAGCGTCGCGGGAAGCCGCGCCCGGAGCCCCTGGCCCCGTCTCTCTGCGCCACTCCTGGAGCCCCAAGGCCGTGCCGCTTTTCATCGAGCTGAGCCCCCAGCGGTCTGGACCCTCTCCCCGGGGCCGGCTCTGCACCCCGGGTCGTTCTCGGAGGCCTCTGTTATAGGTGGACGGGGTCGGAGGGTCGCGCCGCTTCGCCAAGACAGCGGCGATGCACCGCCGATGCACCGGGAATGCACCCGCAGCGTCGGCGATGCACCTGCGCCATTGGCGTGAAGCAGTCGGGCCCACATCGCGCCGCACCGCCGATGCATCGACGATGCGGCGCGATCCTCCGATGGGAGGCCTAGAGCTTCTTGACGGTCCCAGGCCCCGGCGCGAAGGCCTCTGGAGGCCAGAAACCGATCAAAGGCCTTCCGTCGTTTTGTCTCCCCTCCCGGCATGAGGTCGGGCGTGTCCCCCTACAGGCGGACTTTGTCGGAAAAGGACAGACCCCCCCCAAAATGTTCAAACACTGTATTAAGGCACGCTAAAAAACTCGTCCCCAGACTACTTTTTCAAATGTTTTTGCAGACCCCTCCTGTAGAGGCACAGGCCCGACTCAGCACTCGGGCCTCTGGCGGCCGAGCTCAGGCCCCCCTGGCGCGCCCTCGACGAGGCGCAGCTGCCGGAAGCCACCCTTGGCGCGGGGACGCCTGCCGCCCCCGACCGACGAGGACGTCCGACGAAACCTTCGGCCCGAGGCCCTCGGCCGCCGGCCGCCGACGCCGACGACAGCGCCGACGGCCGACGGCTGACGACCGACGACGACTGCCGCCGACGCCGACGCCGACGCCGACGCCGAAGACGACGACGACGCCGACGCCGACGACGACGACGCCGACGACGACGCCGACGACGACGACGACGCCGACGACGAGGACGTCTGGAAGCCCTCGCGCGGAGGGCCCGCGCCTCCGTCGTCGCTGTCTGGCCCGGCGGGCCAGCGGTCGGCCCCGTACATCGCGCGGGGGGGCGTCGGGCGCCCGCCTCCACGGGAGGGAGCGCAGGGTCGAATCGATTGCACGTCGGTCGGAAGGAGCAGGTAGAAGCATGGAGCAGGAAGGCGGATGTGATGGATTGTCGATTGTGAGAATCAGCTCACGTAGCTGATTTTCCCGGCGCCTCCCGGCGCCGGAGGCGGCTATGTATCGAGGAACGGGCCCCTCGGTGGGGCCGAAACCAGCTACATGCAGCAGATTTCGTACCCCCCCCTTTCCCAAACCCGCCCTTTCGCCCGACCCGAGATTGGGTCCAGGTCCTCCCAGAGGGTAGCAGAACACAGCAGAAGCATGCCGACTCTTGAAGCAGGAGGGCGCTTGAAGCAGCCTGGGACCCGGGAGAACCAGAAATACCTACTTTCAACGACCGGCGTGCCCAGTCAGCCCGTGTCATGAGGACGCACGGGTTCAGGATGCAGGGGCCTTGGAAGGCCATCTCGAGGCTTTTTGAGCGAGGCGCGGCCCGCGAGGGTGGACAAGGATGGGCCGGAGGGGCCAGGATGCAAAGGCAGCCTTGGGAAGGTTGCCCGTCCTCCTTACATATGCGGGTTGACTGTGAGTCGGATCGGCGATCAGAATGCATCGGATCGGCGGCAACTGGCAGCCGAATCGGGAGAGAAGTCGCACCGGCGGAAGTCGTCAGGCTGACGCAAGCCTTCGCTGACACATCGGAATCCAGATCGGAGTCCGAAATCGAATCGAATCGGACTCGGAAGCCACCGACCCTGAGATCCGACGCCGCCAACAAAAACTGCTCCTTCGCCAACCATCACGACCGAAACCCCACGAGCCGCACCGATCCGTGATGGTCCTGGGGGGGGCCAAACTTGGCGGCGCGCCAAAGGGGGTGCAGGGAGGGGGCAAAGCTTCTGAGAAGGAGGCTGCTCCTTAGAAGGCGCCGGCGCCTTCTGAGGAGCAGGGATGCTCCTAAGGCGCCTCCCCCCCCCCCTCTCCCCATCTCCCTCTGCGCGTGGCTCTGAGGAGGAGGAGGAGGCGGAGGAGGAGGAGGAGGAGGAGGTGGAGGAGGAGGAGGAGGAGGCGGAGAAGGAGGAGGAGGAGGCTGAGGAGGCGGAGGCGGAGGCGGAGGAGGAGGAGGAGCCGACGAACGCGTGGCTGACAAGCGTGGCGACACCGCGCCGCTCGACAAAAACGCGTCGCCCAGAGGCAGGAGGAGAAGCCGCTCCACGCCGGCGGCCCCAAAAGACCTTCGGCCTCGGGAGCCGGAGGCTCGAGGCTTCCGTCAGGTCGGGCCTGTCCCCCCACAGGCCGATTTGGGGCGAAGAATAAACAAGATTCCACAAATATGCAAACATACCCCCAACATGTAAAAAGAATTGTACCCAGATTACAGTATATTTTGGCCTATCTTGGAATCTGCCTCCTGTACAGGCGCAGGCCCGACATGAGGCTTCTGGTTCAGTTCGCGGCGCCACGATCTCGGGGGGAGCTCGAGCCGACTCGCGTCGGAGGCGTCGAGGTGCGCCCCGCCTCCAGCGGGCGCACCTCGACGCCTCTATTTGCCTATTGTGGAACCTGCCTCCTGTCGAGGGACAGGCCCGACGTGAGGCTTCTGGTGCGCAGCGCCGAGACCTCAGGGGAACTCGAACCGAATCGCAGGAGGAGGAGGAGGAGGAGGAGGAGGAGGAGGAGGAGGCGGAGGAGGAGGAGGAGGAGGAGGAGGAGGAGGAGGAGGCAGAGGAGGAGGAGGAGGAGGAGGCGTCGAGGTGCGCCCCGCCTCCAGCGGGCGCCGCTCGGGGCGAGCGGCGGGGAGCGGGGGTGCGCGCGCGCGCGCCGCGCCCCGCGGGGGCGGCGCCCGGCGCGCGGAGGCAGAGAGAGAGGACCCCCGCGCGCCCCTCGACGGAGCCGAAGCGGTGGCGCGCGCGCGAGGGCCGCCCTCCAAGACGAGGCCAGGACGAGGGCAATGCGGGATGACGATTCATGAAAGAGGAGAGAACGATTCAAAACACGGTCTCCTGCGATTTCGGCATCGTCTTCGGACTGGAGGAGAACGACTCAAGAGATATAGTTTTCCAGCCCGCGGCCGGGCTTTCGAATCGTCTTCCCGGGCGCCGCCGCGTGAACACCACCCCCGGTCATTTATTAATCGTCATCCTCCATTAATACCGGGTGAGGACGCAATCGAAGCGCTGTCCCCAGGACCCCTCGCGCTGTGAAATAAAAAATCGCAGCGGGACTGTTTGTCGGCACGTTCGGCCTCCGGGGGCCCTTCCCGGGCCTCGGGGCCGTCGACAAACGACTCAGAAAGAAACACCGGTTCCGGGAAAAGGGTCCAGACCTCTGGGGGTCGACGGTGTGAACAAAATCACAACTTCGGGGGTCTGGGTCACAAGGAATCCTAAAGAAGGAACGAGGGCTCCTTTTCCCATGAGTTAGACTTCGATTCCCCAAAGAAAGCCTGATGACAACCTAAGGCAGACTGTTAAACATTTCAGGAACACGGAGCCCCTCCCCAACGAAAAGGGTTCCTTCTTCAGCGGCCCGACAATACCCGTCGGTCGGACGAAGTGGGTAGACATATGAAGTAGGAAGGCGTTGGAAGTAGATCAGGCTTCTGCCCGCCCCCCTGAAGAGGAGGGAACAAGGAACACCACTCGATCCTTGGAGTAGGAAGGCGACTAAAGTGGATTGGGATTTGGGCACTCGGACATACTTACTTTCAACGACCGGCGTGTAAAATCGGGTGATGAATTCAGAATCTCTGACATCCGGCGGCTCTGGAGGATGTCTCGGGCGCCGCGGCCTTCTCAGAGCGATCCGGAGCGCTGTGAGAGCGTTCCGGAACGATCTGAAACGGATTTATCCTCGTCCTAGCTCCGTCCAACCCTCCCTCCTCCCCCCCCGTCCTCCTCCTCCACTCCCTTCTGGGCACGCGCTAGGAGCGCGAACGAGTTGAGAGTTGTTGCGTTCGTGGATGCATTTTTTTGAGCTCAGCGCCCTGGCGCGAGCGGCCGACAGACACGTAACTATAACCTAGTACACCTTGCCAACAGGGTTAGCCGCCTCACCTCCTCCTTCCCCTCCTCCTGCTCCTCCTCCTCCTCCTCCTCCTCCTCCTCACCGCCACCTTCCCCTCCTCCCCCTCGG